CTTGATCCGACTGAATTGCCTTGGGTGCTCCTACAAAACTGAAAAACTTGGTTAGGGCCTTAACTATGCTCTTTGCCTTTATATTCCTAAGAGGTATGGCTTCAGGAAATCGAGTGGATGTACACATAATGGTAAGTAAATACTGGTTTCCAGATCTGGTCCTAGGCAAAGGTCCTACACAATCCACCAACACTCGACTAAACGGTTCTTCAAAAGCTGGAATGGGTTGGAGAGGAGCAGATGGTATCTTCTGATTCGGTTTACCTACCATCTGACAGACATGACACGACTTACAAAACTCAGAAACATCCTTCCTTAGCTTAGGCCAATAAAAATGACTCAAAATCCTATTATAAGTCTTATTGATACCTAAATGACCAGCCATAGGTGTATCGTGAGCTAAACTCATGACATCTCGACGATAAGCAGCTGGGACCACTATCTGGTGAACAACACGCCACACTTCATCTGGGGAAGCGTCAGGTGGTCGCCATTTTCGCATAAGGATGCCATCTTTCATATAGAAGCATTCTCCAACTTTAGTAGCCTCTTCTGGTGGAAGTGCCCTCTTACTAAGTTGAATGATATCTGGGTCTTTATGTTGTTCAGAGAGTAAACGTTCTCGGCTGAGGATGTCCTTGCCTTGGCTAACTATTGGATGCAACTCATCATCCTCACCACCAAATTTTGGTAACAGTTCTTTCTTCTCTTGCTTCTTGATATTGTGTGGTTCCATGCTTGTTTGAGTGCCATCAAGGTCAGATAAGAAAGTGTCATTCAAATCAATATCAACAGAGGAATTCGTCTCGTCAAAGGCTTGAGTATGGTCTGCCTCCATTTCTCGTCTTCTGGCCATCGCTCTAGTAACAGCACAGGCTGGATAAATGTCATCATCTTCATCATCGCACATGACATCTGGAGTGATTTTCTCACAAACTATAGGATCTGGTACAACTTTTCCACCAGCTAAATCGTTGCCTAGCAACAAAGAAATGCCTGGAACGGGAAGAGTAGGTCGAACACCTACGATAACAGGTCCAGTAACAAAATCTGACTTCAAACTAATTCTATGCAGGGGAACATCAATGACGCCTAGCTCCACACCCTGTAATAAAACTGACCCACCAGTAGAAGTCTGCTCAGACAAAGGAAGCACGCCCTCTAACAATAACGTCTGCGCAGCACCAGTATCTCTCAAAATCTGGACAGGTTTTATTTCGCTAGAGTCACCGAGTGAAACAAATCCCTGAGACATAAAGGGCTTATAATCCTCCATAGAATCAATAGAACTGGACTGTGAACCCTGGACATCAGGAGTGTCAGAACAAATCGAAACTAAGGCTTCTCTATCACCTCTAAATGCCGCACAAGCATGTGGTTGAGTTTTGTCAAAATCATTTTTTCTCTTAAGTTTAAAGCATTCACTGATCAGATGACCCTTTTTCTTACAATAACTACAAGTAGGAAGCGACCCTATTCCAGAAGACCCTTCAAAACGTCCTGGACCGGACTTAGAACCACCTTGGGATGGAGACTGGGAACTTGTGAAAGACTGAGACCCTGAACCACTCTTTTTATATGTGTCTGAATTTGTAGAATTACTGCTAGTCTGATTGTCTTGATACAAAATTCTTTTTATGAGACAGAGCATAAGTATCAGATATGACTGCTGCCTCTTCAAGAGTTTTCACATTCTTATCTTCTAGATGTGTTTTCAAATCTTGAGTAACACATTCCTTAAACTCTTCTACCAGGATGACTTGGCGCAAATTAGCAAAAGTTTTATCAAGTTTCTTAGATCTAAACCAGTGATCGAATAAATCTTCTTTCTCTCGTGAAAATTCAAGAAATGTTTGATTATCAAACTTTCTATACTTTCTGAACTTTTGTCTATACGCTTCAGGTACTAATTCATATGCTTTTAATATTGCTGCTTTGACCTTCTCATAGTCTGAACTTTCAGCTACCCCTAGTGCAGAGTATACCTCAGCTGCTTTGCCAACCAGTACACTTTGTAACATTGTTGACCAAACGTGTTGTGGCCATTTAAGATTTTCTGCGACTTTCTCGAATTGGGGAAAATACTTGTCTACAGATTTTTCTTGAAATTTCGGAACTAACCTAATATTTTTTGCTGCATCAAATTCATTCTTGACAAATGCGGGTTCTGGTTTCTGCTGTAATCTTAATTTCTCTAACTCAAAGTGCTCTTGTCTTTCTAATTTGTCTAATTCAAATTTTTCACGCTCTCGTTCTTCTCTTTCTCTTTCTCTGTCTCTTAATTAATCTTCTCTTTCTAATTTTTCTCTTTCTAATCGCATTTTCTCTAACTCTAATTGAAACTGATATTCTGCCATTTTGTAACACAACTCTGTTTTAACTGTATATTCTGGAAGATCGTATTTTTCAAAGATGTTTTCTTCTACTAGTTTGTTTGCAACCTTAATTCTAATGTCTTGCTTTCTCTGAGAGGATTTAACATCTAACCCAAAATGCAAACCTAATGCGATCAAGTCATCTTTTTTTAACGTATCAAAAACCTGAACACTTGGTGAACTAAGAAAGTTTGTGACCGAAAATACCATGTTGATTTTTGCTGGCTTATAGTCAAATTTAACAATTTAATTAACAAAATTCTGACAATGAACTGCAAAAGTGCAAGAAATTCTTGTTTAATATCGAGCCCCCAATATCTGTTATGGGTCAGAATAACCCTAAATGCCAGCAAAGATCAATCACACAGTTTAAACTTAACAATAATTTATTTACAGTAATATATAAATCATTAAGTACAAACTTAGCAAAAATCTAAAAATACATACATCAGAGTGTCCGTTGCTGCACACAATGTCCCAGTGAAAATATATCCCAGTAATACCTCAATGATGCTTATACGACAATTCTATCTCTGCATCGAATTGACAGGGTATTTATACAGTAATATAAATCTAGAATATTCAAGAAATTGTAAATACATGATATTACTGGAAAGTTCTGGACATAACACAAAGTTCAAGAATGTTAATATAAAAAATGACACAACATGTTGACCACTCTGGAATGTTCAAGAAATTAATGTTACTAATAATATACTTGATGAAATAATACAAATACAACACACCTCACAACAATATGACATCTTGGTTACCAAACCATACAGGATATATATATACTGTATACACGCATATCCAACAATACAGGATATGTCAAATTAATTACAACCATACAGGATATAAATATACTGCGTCCAACCATATAGGACAATATGGTAACCAAGCCATTCAATATATATACACTGTATACAAGCATATCCAACCATATAGGATAGCTAAAATTAATTGTCCAACCATATAGGACAAATAGTAACAAAACCATACAGAAATATTTATACATACACATACCGTGCACAAGCATATCCAACCATATAGGATATATATAGCAAAAAATTGTTCAACTATATATGGACTACCTTGGTAACCAAACCATACAGGATATATATATTACACTGTATACAAGCATATAAAACCATAGAGGATTTCTAAAATTAATTAACCAACCTTCTTTTTTTTTTTTTATAATGATTATTATTATGAGCCTGATGATGCTAATAAATCACTATTGGCATTTCCAAGTTCCAAAAAAAACCCAAGCAAAGCATAAATATACAATATGAATACCTTAATATGCTTTATCTGTGTAATTATGCAACCAACCCAATGGCAAATAATGAAATCAAAATAAGCGACTGACTGTAATAGCTACATGATGAACAACAAAGGCAATTTACTCTAGCTACATGCATTTGCAGTGCTAAATTCTTATCGTATACTGACAATCCACAGGCCTTAGTTCTTTAATGAAACCAAAAACATTATATGCACTTGTAACCTACCCAAACTTGACCACATTACATTAAATTGTTATAAATATAAGTATTGAAGTTATACAATCTGCCTACAAGCTTTAAAGTGCTGAAACAACCGACATCCTGTTACTATTCTAATAGTTTGTGTAACCATGTGCTCCTTTTTGGTGCACACCATTTTAACAGTTTACTTTATTCTCATTTTCTGATGAAAAAAAAAAAATCTTACATCCTAACCATGATAACCAAATTCTCTGCCTGATTTAGCGTTAAAAAGCCTGTTAATACCAACAACACCTTAACATTGCACGATTCATGTTCTATTAAGAACCTGTCAGGTTTACTTGGTGGTTTACTATGAAGAATTTGGTATATTGACATTACACTGTGCACCAAATGACCCCGAATTTTTCTCAGCGAGTAAAACATTCTCAACCCAGTCGTATAACTTAATATCTAGACTACACAAATCATTAGAACCTTATTGTATATACATACTAAATCGGGTTTAATTTTATCAACTTCTGCGAGCCTACCATATCAATGTAATGCAACCCGAATATCCTCTATACAGAACCTTCTCGCTGAGATATTCAGATAGAAATTGATATTTCACTGTTCTACACAAATCTGCAAACGAACAATAAATCAATATCTTTGAATCAAAACCCTACTCTGCATGAGTGACACAATATAAATACTCACACCTAAGTAAAATTTGTAAACCACATTTTTGGAGCCGAAATGTTATTCTGATAAGGATAAGGCTAATAGCCGTTACTAGAGGACGCTTAAGTATAGAACCCGGAAAACCCTTCGGGACCCATGAATTCAAACAAATTGGTAATTAATAAAAATATGCAATTTATTACGTATTTAGATCACATAAATTCCTTTATATACATAAATACACTTTTGGGCTCTATTTCCTTATAAGGGTTAATCAGCGGAGCAACTGTCATGACGTCAAACCTCATTATGACCTCATTACCATATTTTTTTCATGGGTAGCCTTAACTGTACTGCGTTCTTTTTTCTTAAATAAAAATTACCATTCGTCCTTGCCTTTTAGGAAAGCAACACAAGAATTCTTTACACTACATTTAATCATAAAAATATTTTATTCAGCAATTTCATTTGAGTTATTATGGCTGTATCTTTTCTTTTCTCTGATGTTCTTCTCTGTTAGTAGACCAGTGTTCCTGTAAATCCAGAGTATCCACCGTGATCTATTTTAATGCTTGGACCTGTATTTTCGACCTTGACATGGTCGCCACGCTTCAATTTTACTATCACAGTTCTGCTCAGCTGAACCCAGATTTTCTCATCATTAATTCTTCTATGCACATTTGCTACAGCTTTCTTGTTTACCTTTATAGCAAGCCAAATATCTACATGGCAGAGCGTATCAACAACGAACATGTAAGTTCCCGCAACTGGACACACGAATACTCCTGTTTTATCATCATATCCATTACCATCGTTTGTCAGAATCGCATCGTATTTCACAATCCGCCCTTTTTCAACAGAAAGATCTTTCGCTTTTAAATAAACGGAGAAACTGACTCTCCTGGTTGGTTTTGATAAACCTACACATTTAAGTATAAAACAATCAATTAAAAGAATACAAAATAACTAAAATACATTTTGAGTTAAATATTCCCCCCTTTATTTACTGCTAGATGTATAATGCTAGAAATACAGTGTTTGTTTTGTCTACAAAAATCTTAATTTTTGTGAATTTTGTAGTTTTATAACATTTAACATGAATTTCTTGATAAGTGATGTAATATATCTTTGATTCAATTTTTAAAAAAAATCCTCTATTTAATAAACCCCTTATTCTTTGACTGAGTATTTAAATGAGACAAAATCAAGTAACTAATTTGTTAAACAAGCTGTGTTTTCAAATTTTTCAACGTTCTTTTGGGTAACTTTACGTTTTCTTAATTGAAATCTTATTATTTTTTTTTTATTTAATTATATACCTGATGTTGAGAGTTTGATCAGTTCCTTCAGAGCTGTAGAGTCCAGAGTAACTGTAGCCTTAGCATTACTGTAGATCAAGGACTTTAGGGAGTCAAGCTTGGTCCGTGCGTCTGACAGTGTCCCTCCTGACACAGGTTGATAGACGTTACAGATCATAAGAAGCATTATCAAGAGACCTCCAAGATTTGTCAGCATTTTGTTAATTTTTTTTATAATGGCACCAAAAACACAGATAAACCGTTGTTCTATTTGTGATGAGCACATGTACTGTTACGAATTTTATATTTATAAAATTCTTTTGTAAAGTTTCGTTGAATATAAAAATTTGTCACGCAATATGATCATTATGATATCGTTTTACATATTAATCGAAAAAAGATTATAACATTGTTTATTGAGACACCATACAGTATATCAATGAAAATTGATTCAAGACACGTTATTCTAACAAACCTTCAGGGTTTCGTAAAAGCAAAACATTGTCACTGACAGTGGATTTTACCAGTAGTGTAATCATAACATTCAAAGTCCTTTGGCATTGTATTTCGATATATTGGGAAAATCGACCTGACATGAAATGAAAACGATCTTTAAGTCATTAAGGGTCTGGCTTAAGAAGTATCCTAAAGTCCAATATTTCGCGGTGTCAACGTTTTCGCTGGTATTTATCTATATGTATGTGAAAATCCTGCAATGGAAAAACTTCCTTTCGTTTGTCACACAATTTTCTTCTAAGCTGGTCTGTATTGTTTAGATTCAACATCATCCACATAATAGAATGTTGAGTTGAACGCCAAAGCATTTTGTAATTGAAATATCAAAAGTTGATGGAAATTATCAAAGCATTCGCAAAAAAACAGTTGAAATAACCAATCAAAAAAAACGCAATAAAATTCAGAAGATGGTAATCATGACTTAAATATTCAGATAAATAAATGAGTGAATAAGGAATTCATTTTAACTGATATTGATATATACAGATAAAACAGTTGTAAAAGACCAAAACAGTTCTAACAAGAGGCCCAGGGGCCAGATCACTCACCTGAGCAGATCGGCTAGGGAAAAGCACAAATTAGATCAGAATTGAAAAGTTTACTAGGGGGGAGGGGGGGGGGGGCTTGAATTCTAATACTACTTGAGAATGCTTTCATATCAATTCTGCATAATAACTTCTTGAGAAAGTTCTTAAGAAAAAGATTTTTAAAGATTTTTTTTTACATTTTGTTGGTATATATTCCATTGTAATAATTTAAATTTGTAACCCCATTGTTTCCCTCCCTACCCCACTACCCCAAAGGGTACTCATGATTTGAACAAATTTAAATCTTCAGTACATGAGGATGCTTACATGTCAATTTGACATAACATTTTAAGAAGATTTTTTCCTATGTAAAACTTTGATCAACCATTTACACCCCACTCTACCCTTGAGGTTATGCTTTGAACAAATTTAATTCTAAACTACCTAAGGATGCTTCCATATAAGTATCACTAATCATGACTTTTCTATTCCTTAGAACAAGATATTTTAAAATATATATAAATGTAAAACATGGATTCCCCATTGTGGCCCCAACCTATCCCTAGGGGTTATGATCTGAACAAACTAGAACCTACAGTACCTGAAGATGCTTCCATATAAATATCACTAATCATGGCTTTGCAGAACTTGAGAAAGAGATTTTTAAAGATTTTTCCTATATATTCCTATGTAAAATTTTAATCGGCCATTGTGGCCTCACCCTACCACCGGGGGCCATGATTTGAACAAACTTGAATCTACACATCTGAGGATGATATAATATAAGTTTCATCTTTCCCAATGGTTCTTGAGAAAAAGATTTTTAAAGATTTTTCCTTAATATTCCTATGTAAAAATTTGATCGGTCATTGTGGCCCCGCCCTTGCCCCAGGGGTCATGATTTGAACAAACTTAAATCTACATTACCTGAGGATGATTCTACTTGAGTTTCAATTTTCCTGGCCCAGCGGATTTTAAGAAGAAGATTTCTTAAAAAATGCCATTATTTTTTCACTTATTCATAACTATCTCCCCTTGGAAGAAGGCGTGGCCCTTCATTTGAACAAATTTGAATCCCCTTTACCCAAGAATACTTTGTAGCAAGTTTGGTTGAAATTGGTCCAGTGATTCTTGAGAAGATGAAAATGTGAAAAGACGGACAAATTTTGATCAGAAAAGCACACTTGAGCCTTAAGATTCGGCTCAGGTGAACTAAAAACCAAAATCAAGCTATTTTTTTTCTAAAAAATAGTATTACGAGAGTTTAGATACTTTTAAATGATATCAATAAAAGAAAAATGATTGTCGAACACAAGACAATAGCATCCATTATTAACCTACGAACTGCCTCATTCCTATAATCTATAATATAATCTTTAATCCTATAATACTAAAATAATTGCGATGTGACACTCCAGTAGTGAGTTATTTTAAAATCTATAGCATACAACGCAGGAGAGATCTTAACTTTATGTAAACAGAAAGAATAGTAACGAGTTTGAAAAAAAAATGTGATGATTAAAGTTAATAATTACTTTTACAGACTTTAGAACAGAGTTGTTAATATGAAAAAGATAAGTGGACTTGAATAATTATGTAGATATACAGATTAATTCCTCTGATAACTGCTTATTCCGTCTTTGTTGCATAAAATTCAACACAATTTTTATATTATAGTATCATACTATACTTATTGGATTGTTCATTCCTCGTAATTGCATCGGAATATCTTCTCACAATTTAAAAACAGATTAATTAGAAAACAGTCAAAATTAAAAACACCCAAGATTTCTATATCTAGGTAAAAAAAAATTCAAAAGGTGACACTCGCACTTGAGAATGGTCTGTTTATTTATATATTTAGTACAAACGGTATCCAGTCTTCAAAGAGATTGTTTAAAGACCTGATCTCCAAAACTACATCCTTCTTGTCAGTCAGAAACTCAATAAATTTTTTGATAGCAACTTCAGAGTACATACGGTATATGTACAATAAAATTGTTTTAAATAAATGATACTGGAATATTATATAGGTCCAAAGTACTTCTTATTTGAACGTTGGCTTTTGGTTAACACATCAAGTTTTGTATATAAAGGGTCGGGTTTGCTTTTCGCCTTTTTTTCTCCTGAACCTTTCAAAGGTAAAGACGCATAAAAATGCTCGCGAAATATTAAGAACCCGCCCTCCCACCCCTTTATAAGATTTTCTGTGTTTCAGTAAAGTAGGATTTTCTGCTGCTTGGTTTTTTTTTTTTTTTTTTTTTTTTTTTTTTTGCTTTATTTTGCAGTGAAACATCTTTGATCTTCACGTCCAAGATGAATGTCAGTAGTATAAGGGGCCCCGCTAGGTACTGGATTCTGATTGGCTGAGAGAAAATCACTTGATTTGATTGGTTGAGGGGAAAGAGGGGTCAACTGAGTGCAGTTCTAACCCTAACCCCCTAGCCCCCTAACCCTAACCCTAACCCTAACTAACCCTAACCCTAACCCCTAACCCTAACTAACCCTAACCCCCTAGCCCTAACTAACCCT